ACTGCACTAATTTTGATCATATACTGTGTTAGGTGCAGGGAGGCAGCATTTAGTGCTTGAAAGGCAGCAAAAATATTGGCTTGCCAACCAACAGAAGCACTGTGATACTCCCTTGAGTCCTGTGCAGAGTCCTGGACCTTCCTATTGCCAAGTGTATAAAAATGAATTTGATTCTCTCTTTACTATATTAGAGCAAAATATGATCTCTGCATGAAGGAATAATAGATCGGGCAAGTTCAAACTTGTCCCAGTGGCAATATACTTTCATTCCATGGAGTTGCCAACAAACATCTGGAGATGTTTTCATACTGTCTGGAATTATAAGAAACAAAAGCCTAGAAGTAAGCAGTAGTCCATGCAGTCTGAGCTATTAGGAAGTGAGGCAACTTTGGTTATAAAGGAACAATTTTAAGAAGGATTACACATAACTTAATACAGTATACTCCTAACTCTATATGACAGGCATTTTCCTTGCAGATTAGAAACAGGCATTCCTGTCAGGCAAAGGGTTAAATTTAGTTTCTTTAATCTGCAAGACATGCCTACATAAGGATTTAATCTGAAGTACACATGAAATCAACCACCTCAGATAAAACTGCTCAATTTTAGAACTCCACCCCCTGTAACAAAAACAAAACAAAACAAAAAGAACTGAAGATGTGCTGGTTTGCTATCAGTCTCTTAGAAACGCCTAAAATAATTTTGACCATCTCTAAGAGAAATAATATAAAATAATACACACAGAGATAAATATATGCATATTTAAAGTGGACAAAAGAAAGAGGCTTAAGGTCTACACACACTTCGTAGAAATCCAGATGGTCTGAATTATCAAGTAATGTAAATTAGTATAACTCTTAGTGGGATTGTTCTGCTCAGGATAAACTTACTAAACTAGACCTAGCTGTGCATATGAGAAATTTAGTTTTTTTTTAAATTGTCTCAAAGTAGTCTGGCAGTTCACATTTACTATTAACTTATAATCCACTTTTTTCAGATGTATTGGATATAGCATTAGAGGCTTAGGTATTAGACCTTTAGGCATACATGTACTTTGTGTACATAGTTGGGAACTGGTTGGCACAAGAATGAAATTGAGTGAATGCTTTTTTTTCTGCATCCAGTTTCACCTTCATCAACCCTTTGCCATGTACACAGCACATATACTGTATACTCAAAGCTCTTATATTATATTAACACCATGGATCTGAGGTATGGATTGCAATTCATGGAAACAAACCTGGTAGTCTTAAATAAGTCACAAAGTATTTATTGTTTTGCTGGAACAAAGCAAAAAACAAAGTGTGCTGCTTATATACTGCCCCACAGTACTTAAATACTCTCTGGGCAGTTTATAATTTAATTATACACATCCCCCACCTACCCCCCGGCCAGCTGGATACTCAATTTACTGACCTCAGAAGGATGAAAGGCTGAGTGAACCTGGAGCCAACTACTGAGATTGCAGTACTGCAGTTTAACCAGTGTGCTACAAGGCTCCTAGACTAACACAGCTGCCCTTTTGAAAATTGCTCAGTTATCCAGTGGTGATTCTGGAGTGGTAAGGATCAGCCTATAGAGTGATGTCATTGTCCACATTCCTCACACTCTTTGGGGGAGCTGCTTCCACATATCTATATCTCTACATATTTTCATTAAAAAAAAGTAATAGCACAATCTTAAGTAAGACATGTGGTGGAAGTTGGGGTTAAGGCTAGACTCATGACTCTTCTATAGGCAGAAATGCTCATCTGCCAGTTGTTCTCAGAAATTTAAGAACAGTTCTAAAAAGGGATAAAGAAGGAGGACAGTAAAGGACCAGTTGAGATACACTGAAGCCATCCCTCCAAAGTAGGGCTAAATTCATAGCTAAAAGTTAGGCCAGGGCAAGTGTAGGAATTTCCAACATTCCTTTATTGGGATGGGTTTGGATTCAGCACAGCTTCAACTAGCCTTAGTTGGTTCAGCTGTGCCCTAGCCACTTTGACCAATTATGACTGCATTCTAAGGAAAGCAACTGGATGCACTCTTCTTTGCTCAGTACAACCTGTCTTGAATTATAGCATGTAGAAGTACCTATAATCAGGCAATACCTGGAAAAAAAATTAGGTGCTATCTTCTTTTGAGATCTCTGTAGAGCCACTCTTGCTATATAAGGAGAAGGTACAAGACAACCTATAGTAACAGCCTCAGTATTATTTGATTAGGTTGGAGCAATCTACATGCATCTTTTCTAGTATTGTGCCAAAACATTCTCCAATCAGAATTTTAACCATTCACCTTCAATTGGATAGAAATTTCCTCCAAAAAGAAATTTCAAAGGTGGGAGTTCTCAGTTCTTGTGCTTATTTTATGAGGTGGCTCGGCTGAGTGTGGCCAGCCATGAAAACTGCAGAAAGAAGGTATTTGGAGTAGAAAGAAAAATAAAATACAGCATCATTGTACGTCTTGCCCTATTATGGTATGTACTCAAATATCCACAAAAGTAATTCTAAAGTATCCTGGAAATGATATAGGAAAAAAAAAGAAAAGCTTTTTCCCAGAGAAGCAGAATCCTTGGGAAATTAGAAGATAAATTATTAGTTTCATCTCCCTCTTGGCGTCAGATGTAGCACTGCTCTCTCTGGCACCTGCTATAGGGCTTGCAGGGAAGTAGCTGTATTATAAGTATCCACAATAGAGACAAAATGTATTTACAATGATCCCTGAAAAATACAAGTTTTGAAAAATCTGGAGAATGAGTTAACACCGAAGAATGAAAAGTGTGGAGCCAAAATCCCTCAAAATACTTTTTTTTTCTTTTGAGAAACTGAGATGGTCTTTTCTTTGTCTTTCCCCCCTCTATAATGGTGAAGGCTACTTTACAGAATTATTTCCAAAAATACTCCACTATGTTTTGATGGCTGGCTCCTGCTCCTGCTCCGTGACCTAGAATGATAATAGGCAGAGGGCTCTGTCAAAAAAAGCGAAATGATGACCAGACCAATTAAAACAGCAGTGCAAAAACAACAAAAATAATAAACTGTAAGGTAAAAAAAGAATAAAGCTGTGTGACAACCATTGCTCAAGGCTGAAAGCCCACATCTAAGTAACAACTGGTTTGACAAAGTGGAATTCCCACTTCCCATTTCTCTGCTCTCAAATATGGTGGGGAATCGTTAAAGGCCATTTGTGCACATTTGTAATTTTTTGGGGGGGGTCAACTGAGTGGAACTTCTGAGGGCAGACTGAATGAAGGGTTTGGCAATATCATATGATACATGGAGCTAGTTCCATCTTCAGGAGCCCTGGCTGAACCTGCTGTGTTGAAAGAGCAAGTACCAGGGGAAATATCTTGCCAGCTTCAAGACAATTGTAGAGCAAAGGGGATTTACTACAACAACAATTGCATCACAATCCTACGTCTTTTCAAAAATGAGTTCAGTGAACCATAATCCCAGAAGAGTGTGCATAGGATTGCTTTCAATGAAATCCCATGGAAGTCACATTCCTTCCAGATGTGGGAAGCACATGGTGAAAATAATCTGTGTACTTTGTGTATGTTCAGCAACACTATCATCCTTTAAAAGGCAGTCTGCAGTTAAGCTGCTCGTGCCAGAGCTTGGACACCTTACTTTTTAGACTACAACTCCCAGTATCCCCAGGCTGGCTGAGGACTTGTGGGAATTGTAGTCCAAAATGTAAGACGTCCAAACTGGTTTGACTTCTGCCCTGACAGGAGCCATTCTTTACCATCTGCTTCTTTCTCGTGGCACCTGCTGCTACTGTGAAGTCAGTCGGCACCGAGCAAAATAAGAGGGAACGGGAAGGGGCGTCCTGGAGCTCTCCTGAACTTTGCACGACTTTCGAGACGCCGCCGCCGCCGCCGCCCGAAGAGAGAACGTCAGCCCGTGCGGCCGCCGGGCACGCCTGGCTAGCCATTCCTCTGCGCGGTCCCCCTGCTGTTTGTTGCTGAGACGAGGGCAGTAGCACCCTCCTCCCCGGTCGCCGCACAGAAGGCGGAGGGAAGGCAGGGTTCCTCCTTACCACCACCGCCGCTATCACCCCCTTTTCCCGCCAGCCCTGGGGAGGGGGGCGGCGGCGGCGAACTGGGGAGGGGGCAGCTTTTGGGCCGCCGGCTCTTGAGGGAAGATTCTTAGAAGAGTTGGAAAAGAGCCCCAAGAGCTGGCCCGCGATAAGCCCGTCCTTAAGGCTCTGAGAGGAGGAGAGTTGAAAGGAGGCGAAGGGAGGGCGCGGAAGAATGTGGGGTGGAGCAGAGAATACTTAGGGTAGGAGGGTCGTGGCGGGGGTGGGGGGAGAGAAGCGGAGGCAGGAGGAAGCGGTGAGGTAAAGGGGTGGCTTTTAAGGCACCCTGGGGTTGATTTTTTTCCCTCGGTTTCCCGTGCCAAGCAAAACGGCTGTGCCGTATGACTGGAACCAGGTGGTATTGGGCTCTGTCGTCTGGCGGCTCCTGCTTCAGAGGGGCGAGCAAGAGTCTGGATTCTCCCCCGCCATCTCTCCTCCCTCCGTTTCCTTCGGCCTGCCCAGGACCTCGCCTGCTGCTCCCTTCTATTTTCCTTTCCCACCCTCCGCCCTCCTCCTCCTTTGATCAGGAGCGATGAGGGGGAATGGCAGGAACACGTGAAGGCGAGAAGGAAAAC